TCATCCCGCCCTTCCTTCCCTCACCTGTCCCACGCGCTCTTTGATGCCGAAAATCCTATGTTCTGAGTGACCATGAACACACTGCTTGAGACCCTTCTTTCTTGTGAATGGGTACGAAAGAAAGCAATTCTTCGCATCACTCCTTCCTTGGATTAGTAAACTACTATCGATAATTCGTGGAAGGTTCTTCAAGGGCCCTGACCGATAGGAATCAAGGATGAGTCTCTACATCTATCTTATATCTGTTCATTTAGGATTAAAAAGGCTTTAGGAAGACAATGAGATCTCAGACTTTCCTGAAATCTTAGTAAGGGAGTCCTAAGTCGAATAGCCTTATTCAATTCAATGATTTTTTAGTGAATACCCAAAAGAATGGACAACCCACGGGGTCACTCTGTCCTTAAAGACTCATGTTATCGTTCACGCTTCCCGGCCAGGGATTCAATACCTAAAAGGCAGCTACATGTCTACTATTTATTCATACTTTAGAAATGAAGGACTCTCTCTATCCTGAGTTACTCAACCAGACCCGGACCTTACTCATACTTACTTCCCGGTACTCAAATCCGCTATTTCTCAACCGGACTCGAAGACAGTGGTCTAACCATTTCAAAGTCGAGGAATGGCAGAAGATTGCAAAGACTCGAGAACAGAAAGGGCATTGGCATCGGGGCTAGAAAGCAAGCAAGCAAGAAAGGAAAGCTAGAGAGAGATAGCCCTTTTCTAAAGTATATATAACCATTCTAAAGGCTTATAATCAAACGGACTCTCAAACCATAAGGCATGGGGTTCGCTTGAAAGTTAAATTCATGAGCTTGTTAACGGTACCTGGGCACCTCTTGCTAGCTGTTCTACCGCCATATTTGATGGCCTGTAGCTTGATTTCGAACAGATAAATTGCTTCTTTCTATTAAAGGATAGACGAGCACACGTACGCGAAAGAAAGCCAAGGAAAGAGCGGCAAAAGCTTTTTCTCTTTTATTTAAAGAAGTAGATGCCATGAGGATGGATGCCCAATGGAGAATAAGATGTCAGCTGGGGGATTCAAGCTCTATACCTTACCTCTCCCAAAGGGCAAAGAAAAGGCCTATAATCAACGCAAAGGGGAGCTCTAAGGATAGGATACAGGCAGGGATAGAAAGATAAGAAAGAAAGGCAAAGGTTCATTAGCTCCATAGTTGCTAACAGGTAGGGGCTGTTACTGGTCCGCAGATGAACTTAATCTCTCAAGTTGTTGAGCAGGAATGGGAACCTAGCAGATGCACTCATAGCTGATGCTAATGATTTATAACATTGAAAAAAATATAGTATAGAAAACGACTCCAAAAAAGTAAAATGCAAGAGAGGTTGGTAACTAGGTTTTCGGGTCCTGACAAAGGATGGAAACCGGCTTTCCTTAATCCCGATAAGGGTGCGGGAGGAAAACAGCCAGATCTATGGCTGATAGATGGGGAACTACCAACCTCCACAGGAGCCGCTAGCTCTCTAATGAAATAAAGTCCCGGATGCAGTAGAGCTAAAATATCACCGGAGGAAAAAACTTTCATTCTTCCGTCTTGAAAGCGAGTGAGCAAGCCCCATCCTCTTGGGAGTTTCCAACCTAGTCCTAAGGGCAGGGTTTGCGGGTAGGCAAGCTAGAAGCGACAGAGCCGATTCTTATCTTAAGTTTAAGTACCCGACCAGTAGTATGACCTAATCGATTTAGTTAACTTCATAAAGATACAGAATGCCTTTCAATTCAGGGGAAGAATATATGACAATTGAACTGAAAACTTAAATCTCAGTCTCAAGGGAAGTTAGTACTTTCATCAGCCGAAGAAGGCTTAATATGATCAATAGCTTGATTTAACTCCAGCGAGCCATAGAGCAGCTTTTAGGTTCCCAAGCGGTAAAGACCATACAGGAGTTTAATGCTCACAGAAATTCCCACTTGCTTTGCGGGAATTGAAAGCCTCTTTGCTATACTAGCCCTTGACCAGTGAGTGAGCCTAGACTCTCTCTATTCGAGTGAGTTCCACTTCTCTTGAAGCGTAATACCCTTACTGCTAGTTTCCTATTCCCGAATCTAAGGGTTAGCTTTCTATCTCTCTTAAAGAGGGTCCTCGTAGCGCTTTCCTCTCACTGTTATTGCCCGGTACCCTAGCTAGATTAAAGTTCTCCTCCCCATTCTTTTAATGGTAGCAATGGATCCGGAACAACTTCTGACCGCTTAACCACACTACACTCAGATTTATTCAGTCGGAAGACTGCTATTGAATTAGCGCTTTCAAAGGGCGACTCCACTGCTATTGATAAGTGCAACTAACCTCTTGTTAGCAGCTTCTCCCGTCTTTCGATCAGACTCTGAACACGAATTGTGTCAGAAATCCGCCGTAGGCTGGGCTCTTCCCCTATAGTATTAACCAAGAAGCGCCTATATAGTTCGCTTTATCGTTCGCTATCTGGTAATAAGGGGTGGGTTAATACGGGAATCTCTGGGGCCGCGGGGGGAACTTCAGGAGCATCAATGACAGGTGCTGGGGCATTGTTGCCTACTGTAGGCGGGAAGGGTGGTCCGTCCACTACCACCCCATCGCACGGCGCTATAACCATAAAGTGATCCCCCCACAAAAGATAATGGTACCAAAAGGGGAGTCAGATGATGAGGAGATTCCCACGTATTAAAGAGTGGGGTGAAGGCGAAACTAGTCAACACATTCTAATAATACCGATAAGAGAATGGAGGAACCCACTGATGGAACTAAAGGGGAGGGGAACTATACCGGAGTTTACAGAAGCAATGCGGAGATAGCAGACTGAAAGCCCATTGTGGAAGGTGACCGAAAGAGTGCAGTTTTTGGAATGGAAGCTAAGAATGAAGAGGGGTCAAGTACCTTTAGCGCAAATACGGAAACCAGCCGCAGCAAATGCTAGTCAGATACCGTACATTCTAGGCCAAAAAGTAAAAAGTTAGAATAAACAAAGAGAATCATAAAGGAAAGGGAAAGGCAGAAAGAAGAGGCGGGATTCCTTTTCACAGCCCTTTACGTAGCGTGATGATCTCCTCGGGGGCTGACTTAGCCCCCATCCCCATTGTCAAGTGATGGAAGATCAGACTAGAGATCAAGCACATCGGACGGTATCTGAAGGGTTATCTTGGTATCAGATCAATTGAATTAGCTAGCCTAACCAAGGGATCAAGAAAGGTAAGACCTACACCAACAGAGCGAGCGAGTCTTCCAGTGAAGCAAGAGTATACACAGTAGGTTCCATTGGAGAAGGAGCTCACAAGCCGAGTCTCTCCGCGGAAGCCGTGGGAATTTCCTTTTTTACAAGTCTGGAAAGAAAGTTGGGACAGAGGCTTCCTTTCCTAATTCCAATCGTGACATCGGTAATCCCACATCCTGAGATAAAGCCAGTTTGATTCACGTGCAGAACCTTTTTGTCCAATTGCTTAAAGCTCTGTCAAAGAAGCATTATATTCCCGAAAGTGCGGATTTGAGCCTAAGACAACTGGGTTGACTTACAGGGGTTATTCCCGTATGGATGTAACTTTTTTTCCGCTAGTCTGTCCCGTAGTTCAAGCGTGAAAAAGAAGTGCCACTAACCTTCCCTTCTTTCGATTTCGAGTAGGAGTTCAAACTAGGTATTCTGCGATAGGAGATAATATAGGAGTTTATAGAGTTACATCCAATTCTCCAACAATTCTCGTAGAGTGCTGTTCGAAATAGCTCTTGTGGACTGTAAGGTTTTGGGCATCGTACGAACCCTAGTCGAAGGTTCCTCTGCACGAAAGGCAATCGAGCTGCGTCCCGGCGAAATCTGACCCGATTCTTGCCACTCTCGCACAACACAAAGCCATCTTACGTTAAACCTAACCGGTGGCGTACTTTGAGGGGAGAGTACTCCCGTGCGCCCATACTGGTGTGGACCGTTCTTGCCTATTGGAATCTCTGGCTGCCGGTCTGCTTTACATGGATCCCTCGTTTGAGTGCTTGTTCTTGAGCTTCATCTCCCTCCATTTTACTATAGTCTGGGGAGTTTATTGGAAAACCTTTTCTAAATTTTAGTCTTCTTTTTTTATTTCATATACCCGCTCAATGGAAATTATGGGATTCCATATATAATTTAAATATTTCCCTACAAAGCAGCTCTCTTGAACATGAATCACCTCTTCCCATTGATTTTATCCTTGTCAAAATGAATGAAGTTAAAGCCATACCCGTTTCAAATTAAAATTTTTTTTATAAATTCAAATGTTATAAGTCAGGAACGCTATGTGAATAGGGTCTTAAAGCCCTCACCCAGCAAGAAAACGTATGCGCGAGACTAAGGCAGGCTATAGGCTTTATAGCGTTAGGGCTTTAGTTTGATTGCAGAGAGAGGAAGGAACGATCTCTAAAATGGGATTCAGAGTCGGGTGACTAGTGGTGCGGTGGACAATGACGAGCGTGACTGGCGTTTGTCCCATACAGAATAACTTATAGTGGAAGTGAGGCGAGGAGGCAATAGATTCATCTTGTCATGGAAGATAGACATGAAGGATAAGGCTTTGTAAGAGTGACCGGAGGAACTAATAGTTTTAGTTTAACCGCCCATGCCGATCTGCCAACTTTCAAGGACTTACTTTCCGCTGACACCTAGTTGTTTCCTGCGGCTCGTCTCACGACTGGGTCAAAGCGGGGTCCAACCAATCTACGCATAGAATAAAGCAATCGGCAACCGAAACAAGATAAACCGCTCGAAAAAAAGTAAAGCACTCTGATAGCACAGGCCCTGTTTAAGCTTCGATCAAAGCAATCAGGTATGGTGGCTTAGGAGTTTGAGTCGTATTATCAATCTTAGCCAGCACGAAAAGGGCAGAACCTAATCAACAAAAAAGAATAAACGAATAGAAAGAGGGGGTTTACCTATGAATGTAGTTCTTCTTTAGTCATTCCCTAACCTTTTCTCATATTAGCGTAAGCTACCGTTTAATATGAATAAATACTTTTATTTCCGAACCTAAGGCTAATAGCTCCCGTGCTGCTTTTGACTCCTACTCAATGAATCCGAAGCTGTGGTATGGGTGTCCCGTGGATGCGCCTGCGAGTGAAGCAATGAGAATTGTTGATTCATTTTACACATGGAGAAGGGAATCGAAGATGGATGGAATTTCTTCAATTCAAAATATCCATTGCGTTCTTTTCTATTAATATTAAAGCTTGGTCACCAGAATGTTAATTGAAGAAATGTCTTCCCCGTGGCCAGAGTAAAGTGTTTGCTATTCCAAAGGGTGCTTCTCTGATCTTCAAGCTTTCCCGTGGTGCGCAAATGAAACTATTTTCTTGCCTTCACCCGGCCGATTAGTAAAGATTCCGGCTTCTCAATCGATTGCGTTTCGTATTATAAGATCAGGGGAAAAAGGCATCCATTCAAACAGCTCCCATTCCTATGTTGACACCAAGAGAAAGCCTAAGAGAAGAACATGCTACCAGTCCTAGCTGGCACCGATGCCAAGGGAAAGCATTTCAAGAAGAGACAACCAGTACGCCTACTTAGCAATTCCTCGTAAATAAAGATGCCGAAAGTAAGACAATAGATAGAGAGTCTCAGATCATAAGTAGTTCTTTGAAATAGAAAATAGGGACCTTTTTCACCGACATAGTCAGAAGCTATGGATGTTGAAAACGCACAAGCGAAGCGCCTTAGTCAGCGGAAGGGAAGAAGTCACCCTCAATTCGATCTAGCAAGAAATGCTTTACCGATAAAGTCAAGCGAGAGACAGTAGATTCCTTCTTAGGGTTCCAATAAATTCGACTAGTGCAAAGAAAGATGCAGTATCCAGTTGTAGAGCGACGCAGCAGAGGGAAGTTGGCACGATTTGTAATCCCTAGGGTATC